AAAAAACAAAAACAAACAAACAAAAAAACACACACCGAAAGCTGTTCTGAACCCTTACTGTGAGCCAGGCAGCATGTTCATCATTTTCCATAAGCTGAATGATTTAATATTCTAATTATACTTTCAGAAACTGAGAACCAAAGCTTCACAAAAGTGACTGAGGAGGTCAGAATTCAAATCCAATTACAAAGCTCATGGTTTTCATTATCCCACCTCCTTGATAGTCCCTATGTATGATGGTTTAAATGGCAAAGAAATCACAGGAATGAGAGAGTCAAAGTTTCCACATTTGGTCATCCTTTTAGACTTTATTCTAGCGCTCCCAGCCTCCAGTCCCTCATTCCCCACCCCCAACACCCTCCCATTCTTTACTTAAAGGTTTGGCCACTATAGTTAGGACCAATTTCCCCAGGTTTATGATACTAGTGCCAACTTAGAATAATGGAATATATCAAACCAGGCAGCCATAATGTTCATTACAGGTTTATTACATATTCAAGCCAATTTCAATCAAGCCTGTAGGATTGGGTCAGTAACTTGAAATCATCAATGTCCATGTTGGTCTGTGCCAAGAAATAATGACTTTGAGAGTGGGAGGAAGAAGAGGAATTTTCCAAACGGTCCCCACAATTCTATCCTAAGGACTCTGAGAATAGCTGATTACACATGAGGTTACTTTCATAAGTGGAGTGCCTCCAGAAATTAACTTACATTACTAGGTTTAAAAGATATTCCTCCTGGGCTGGGCATGGTGGCTCATGCCTGTAATCCCAGCACTTTGGGAGGCTGAGGCTGGTGGATATAAGGTCAGGAGCTCAAGACCAACCTGGCCAGCATAGTGAAACCCTGTCTCTACTAAAATACCAAAAATTAGCTGGGCATGGTGGCACCCGCCTGTAATTCCAGCTTACTTTCTGTATCATCTTCAAGAGGTGTTAACAGGTTAGACATTCCCTTAGCACTGATTTTTAAGAGTTTTTTTTAAGATGGAGTCTTGCTCTGTCCCCAAGCTGGAGTGCAGTGGGGCAATCTTGGCTCACTGCAACCTCCGCCACCCGGGTTCAAGCAATTCCCCTGCCTCAGCCTCCTGAGTAGCTGGGACTACAGGCATGCACCACCACACCTGGCTAATTTTTTGTATTTTAGTGGAGAAGGGGTTTCACCATGTTGGCCAGGATGGTCTCGATCTCCTGGCTTAGTGATCCACCTGTCTTGGCCTCCCAAAGTGCTGGGATTACAGGCGTGAGCCACTATGCCTGCCTGATCCTCAATGTTTTAAACATTACGCTTTGCACTTTTTGGTTCTGCTTTTAGGTAACAGAAATTGGGGGCACCTGGTAAGTCCTTGATTAGTGTCAGGCACCAATGGGATACATACTTTCTCTATAGGTCACGAACTCAAAAAGAGGCTGGTCTAGTGTGGATGACCCCATTAGTTGCCTACCTAAATTTACTTCTTCAGCCCCTTCCTTGCTGGTAGAGTTATTTCGTTCAGGAGCCAATGGGCCCCAAACCAGCACTCCCATTCTCCTTTCTAGTTAGTGGCTTAATCATCATAACATTGTAATGTCCTGTTCTGTTGATGGTGATGATGATGATGAAGGCTAACTCTTAGTAAGCATTTACTCTGTGCTAGGTACTTTTCAAAGAATTTTAAAAGGTATAAACTCATTTCGAAACAGGCGTTAAGAAGAAATTGCTTAGGCAGATAGTGAGGATATGGGAGTCCTCAGTAAGATTTTTCTTTTAATAAAAGGCAGCCCCCAATCATTTTCTTTTCTAAGAAAGGGCAGCCAGTAAAATCGAGCTGCAGACATAGACAAGCAAATTAAAAGCTTGCACAGGTGAATTCCAGCACTTGTGCCCATAGGAATATACTATCTGGGATGAAGCATGTTCAAAGTGGCGGCCCCATCTTGTCATTTTGCCAGCCACCTGTACAGTAAGGAGCTGACTAGAGGGCCAAGATAAAAGTCCATTTGCATAATAAGATTAGGGTGGAATCACCAGCTTTCCAAGCACTATGTAAACATCACACTTGCTCAAGCCAATCGGTGAGCCCTACGTAAATCAGACACTGCCTCCTCAAGCCTGTTTATAAAATCTGCTGTGGTCCGCCCTTGCTCCTTTTTTCGGATGTCTCACAAGGAGCTGCTCTCCTTTCTCCTTTCTTCTGCCTATTAAACTTTCGACTCCTTAACCCACCCACATGTGTCTGTGTCCTTAATCCTCTTTGCGGGAGACGATGAATCCCAGATATTTACCCCAGATAGTGATGGCACTTCAATTTCATTCTTGTAAACCAAAAGGTATCTGAGATAATTCTCAATCAATTTAAAAAGTTTATTTTGCCAAGGTTAAGGACGCACCCATGACACAGACTCAGGAGGTCCTACCGACATGTGTCCAAGGTGGTTGGGGTACATCTTGCTTTTACACATTTTGGGGAGACATGAAACAGCAATCAATATGTGTAAGGTGTACATTTGTTCACTCCAGTAAGGTGGAACAACTTGAGGCTGGGCTTCCAAGTCATACGTAGGTAAGAGACAAAAGGTTGCATTCTTTTGAGCCCTTAATCAGCCCTCCACTGAATACAAATTTAGTCTGGCTCACTGAATTTACATTTTTACATGAACAATAGGGCAGGGAAAACAACCAGATGTGCATTTGTCTAAGGTGAGCCTCAAAGGGATGACATTGAGCTCTGTCTTTGTCTTCTGTATTTCCTTTTGGTCAGACTGTGAGGAGGTATGTAGCTTTTAATCTTTGTAGCTATCTTATTTAGGAAAAAAAACTGGGAGGTAGTGTTACCTGACATAGTTCCCGGCTTGTCTTTTCCTTCTGCTTAGTGATTTGGGGGTCCCGAGATTTATTTTTCTTTCACATTCTCATAATAAAGACATGAGGAAGGTACCATTATTAAACCGAAGCCTAAAGAGACTAAATTGCCTAAAGTCACGCAGCTAGAAAGCAGCATCTGAACCCCCATAGTCTGATTCTAGAGCCTGCCTGCTTAACCATCATGTCTTGTAAGCCAATGAGACAAGAAGTCTGCTGGAGGAACATCTGGGACACTTTAGAGATAAGAGTTCTTTTTCTTCCTTGGAATGATGTCATCTGCATATGATACTTGGAACTGCTGAAGTCATCTTGTGTCCATAAGAGGAGTCATGGCTGAGTATGTTGCAGTAAAAAGGTGGAAGGCACTAGATTTGGAGGACATCCTTGGGCAAGGTTGAATTAACTAGCCTTGGAATTACTCTACCTCTAGATTTTCATGTGAGACAATGAACCCAATATCATTTAATCTACTTGTTAGATCTCCTGTTACTTGTAGCAAAAAGCACTCTCACCGATACACATAGAAACAAGCATAATTTTGACCTAAGACAAATAGAAATGAGCATAATGTTGATCTTTTAGGTAGGCAGAATATTTGCACTTTGAGCAAGATTTTCATTCAGCCAACAAATATTTAATGAATGCCTTCCATTTGCCAGGTATAGTGCAAGTTGCTGAAGCAAACAATATGGGAAGGGCAGGTTTCTTCACCCTTTCCTTTATTCTTATAAAGGGAGGTTATAAGAATCTGGGGGTAAATGTAGTAGTGAAAGTGCAAGCAGGCATATTTTTGGATGGTATCTTGAGGACAAATGTGGATTGGGAGTCAGAGAAGGCCCTAATAAAATTCAGTAAAAGCATGCATTACAGATTCAAAAATAATCCATATCATGTCAGTATCATCCATCAAGTATTTGTGACATGTTTTGGTTTCAGTTGTATAAGAACAATAAGAACTATTATGTGCACAATAGTGTTAGATGTATAAGTATTTAGGTAACTTTATGACAACATACATTTACATTAAGGGCCAGACTGTCTTTCCCTTTTAAAGGGAAATACTGAAGCTGATTTAGGATAGGCAAAGTAACATAAAATATAAAGCAAAGGAACGGGAACCAAGGCATTTGATGTCTATTTCTAGCTTACTGGGCAGCAGTACTCCGTGTCTTGAATTCTATTATTTGTGAAATATGATTCATAGGGGTTGCAATGGAATATTTTTGAGTTTTTAAACTAATGAGGGATAAATTTTTAAAATCCCTGTGCTGCTGTGAATGTTCCAGAAATTATTCACAAGTTTATTATAGCAAAGCAAATGGGCAAAAGGAAAGGGATGGGTACAGGACGTGACACTCCAGAAAAGAAGGCAGTGACATGAAAAATCAAGAGGTAGGTAGTGCCCGGTACACTCTCAACACCAGGAAATAGTACTGTGCACATTAGAGCTGTTACTGAATAAATATTTGCTGGAATTTCCAGAGAGAACCAAACAACCGTCAAGAAGGAAGTGGCTTTTTTTTTTTCAGCTTCATTATGGAAAATAGCTAATATGTACAAAAGTACCAAGAATAGTAAATAACGACCATGCAGCTTCTATAGCCATACTTACGGCCAAATTGCTTCATTTTTCCCCTTCCATTCCCCACTATTCTCAAGCAAATTCCTGACATCATACCATTTCACCCCTAAATATGTCGCACATATCTCTAATGCAAAAGAATGGGAACCAAGACATTTGGTGTCTATGGCTAGTACACCGGATAGCAGCCCTCTGTGTCTTGAATTCCATGATATGTAGAATAAGATTTATAGTGGGTTGTAACCTGACTTTATTTTTAACCAACAACAATACAAGAGGAGGTGGCTAATCCTTACAAGGCTCTCCATAAGCCTATAAATACAGGCGGGTGCTTCATTACTCTGGAGCCCACGGCGCCACTCGCGGACCCTCCCTTTCAAGGCCAGGGACCCTGCAGCAGCCCGTGGGAAACCGCCCTTTTAGAGCACGGGTGGGTCCCAGGTGGGTCCCGGGTGGGTCCCCGCCCCGCTCCCAGGCAGTCTCCGCCCACTGGGCCCCAGCAGCCCCCGCGCGCCCTTGCTCCTTCCCGTAGGCCACCGCCCCTCGGCGTAGGGAGCGGCGTGCCGCCCTGGACGCCTAGGCCTGGGCTCGGAAGCGCGCACGTTGTGCGTCCCGGGCTCGCTCGGGATTCTCGCTTGGCGCGGTCGGGGAAAGGTGAACAGTGTAGTCCGCCATGTTCTTCTCCGCGGCGCTCCGGGCACGGGCGGCTGTCCTCACCGCCCAGTGGGTAAGGAGGCTCGAGTTGAGCCTAGCGCTGCCGCCGCCCTTCTCTTGTCCTCCGTGCTTCCCTTAGTTTTGGGCGCAGGAGAGCCCTGGGTTCTGCACGGGCCTGCAGGCGGCGGCAAAGAGACTATGGCCTTCGCCCTCTTCTTAGGGAGGCCGCTGCAGCCCCACCGTGAGAGTGAGGAGCCCCAAGGGAGGGTTGCCAGACTGGGAAGTGTACTCCTAGTTTGGTCGAGGAGGACAGAAAGGAGGGGCTGCATGGTGATTTTTTTTCTTTTCTTTTTTTTTTTTTTTTTTTTTTTGGCTCTTTCGCTGTCGCGGAATCTAGGCCTGCCCTGGCCAGATCAGTTTCCAAGAACCTCGTCCCGAAGGAGGCACCTCACATTTCAAGCCTAGTGACCTTGATGCTGTCGGGTTGCAGCATGCTGGAGTGCTCTCTGGCTTACTTGGTGAAGGCTTACGGAGAACTTCTTTAGGGCTGGAAACGGGTGACCAGTGTTTCATTTACTGCAGTTGTACTTTGCATATCGGAAGTGCTGGGTAAATAAATCGTATCAAACTGACTCTGAAAGAACGGAGCCACGAATAATTGCACCCAGTTAAAGAACCACAGAATTTTAGAGGTTATGTGGTCTTTTTGAGATCCGAGTACATGGCAGGCAAAGAAACTGAATTGCAGAGAAGTTGAAACTCTCCTTTACGTTAATCTAAAAATGCTGATTCCAGAAATGTCGATTATAACAACAGGGCCTGTTACACAAATAATACTGGAAAGAAGCCTTAGTTTTGTTTTCTAGGAGTACAATAGGTTAAGTCAGTTCTCAGCAAAAAAGGGAGATAGCGCATATTGGTTGAGAATGAATTCACGGCTTCAGAGTTAGACTCGAGTTTGGATGGTAGCTTAACTGCCTTTTGTGACTTTTGTTAATCTTTCTCCTTTTCTACATTTGTAAAATGGGAATATTCCCTTCTGCAGAGTTCAGTCTTTCAATAAACTTTTGAAGCCTTACTGTAGGTCATGCACTGCTGAGCTCCAGGTAACAGTGTGGATAACGATAGTCATTTGATAACTGTTTTCTGTATGCCAAGCACTGAGTTAAATATCTACATTCCACGTCTCTTTTTGAGGTTGGTGTTACTTTTTCCGCATATTACAGATAAGGAAAAGACTTAGTTCCCGTTCTTTTGGAATTGATAGTCTCGTGTAAGAGGAACTTTAAGATAAATATGAGGCAATGTAAAAGTAGTGTTAGAGATACGAATTGGGTCATCCAATGTGGTTTCAAGGTGTGTAAGATTTTTGCTGAAGGTAATACTAACAGATTGGGCATGAGGTCAGAGGGTGTTCTAGGTGAGAAAGGACAACTTAAAACCCTCCTTGGCAAGAAAAAGATTGGTATATATGAGAAGCAACCTTTACTGTTGGAGGTAAGGTGTGTTCCCAAATGAAATAAGGGAGAGACAGGGCCCGGACATTGGAGCTCCTTGCATGCCATACTAAAGAATTTGACTTTATCTTAGAGGCAGTCAGAAGTCAGTGAAGGGTTTTAGAGGAGTAGAGAAATATGGTCTGGTCTCTGTTTTGGGTGGGTCACTGGCTGGGACTGAGAGGGTGGAATGGGTTTAATATGGACCCAGAAACAGGGAGACTAAGTAGATAAGAGGCTCTGCAGAATGCTAGGTGAAAGATGATGAGGATCGGACATGGTAGAAAGAATAGAAGTAAGAGTAGTTGTAGATTTTGTTTCTTTTGTTTTTGAGGCAAAGGGGCTAGAAGTAGAAATTGAAAAGCAGTTTTAACAATGAAAAGAACAACTTGAGTAGTGAGGACCATTTTAATCAAGTTTAATGTCTCTGCAACTCTCTCTCCCCACTTTTGTAAACAAATAGTACCTGATATACAGTATGTACCCAATAAATATTTGTTGAGTTGATGAGTAAGTTTTTAATTACACACATAATACGTTGTAGGAAAAACAACATTGAGACTAGCAAATAGAATACGCTCAAAAAATAAAAATCATCCATTGTCTTGTCAACCTGGAAACATTTTGATGTCTACACTTACCAGACCTTACAGATGACTTTTTTTTTTCCAAAAAAAAATTGGAAGATATTTATACTGTTTGGTAGCCTGCTTTTTTGTAATATATTTTGATCAGCTTTCCTTATCAGTAGATATTTCTATACTGTCGTTTTAATGCTAATAGCGTTCCATTGTGAGGATGTTCCATTACTTATATAATCAGGCCCTTCTAACCTTTCACAGGTAGTGGGATTTCACATTAAACTTAGCGAGTATCAAGAAAAGTATGAGAAAAGTCTACCTAAGGAAGTTCCTTTCCTAAATGAGAAACCTTTAAAGATTATTTATACTTCCAAAGAAATTGCCTATTCTAATTTCTGCTTTGTTAGCTGCCATTCTCTTGAAGAGGCTTTTCAGTTCATCATTGCTTAAAATATGGCCAGAATTAAGTACTAGTTTGTGTGACCTTGAGCCATCTTAATCTCTGAGCCTCATTTTTCTTTTCTGTAAAGTGGGATAAATACCTTTTCTGTAAAGTGGGATAAATAGGTGATTGTAATTATTGACTAAAAATTATAAATTATGGAGTAATAGATAATCAGAAGAAGTCTGTTCTCTTCTTCAGTAATTGCCCATGGTTTTCTGTAATGTTGATACCACTTTAGAACGTATCAGTGCCTCATTCCCAAGCTGCTACTGTAGTTTCATAGGTGAGAGGATTGTGGTGACATTTTCAATTACAGATGCTCCTTAACTTACAATGCGATTACATCCTGATAAACCCATTGTAAATTGAAAAAGTGTTGTAAATTTCCATTTTCAGCGGGGTTATGTGGACTTAATCGAAGAACATACTGAATGTCATCACTTTCACGCAATTGTAAAGTTGGGAAATTTCAAGACAAGCCATTGTAGGTCTGGGACCATCTGTATTGTGTATTTATTCATTCATTGAGGATATTTTCCTTTATGTCTTTAAGCATGATTATAGCTGTCCTGAAATTTTTGTCTGGTAATCTTAGTTGATTCTTTTTTCTTGAAAATGCGTTTGCCTTTTTTGTTTGTTTCCCATATGTTGAACAATTTTGGATTGTATGCTGAATTTTGTGAATGATATGTTTTAGAGGCTCTAGATCCTTCCTCCAAATAGTGTGTTTTGTTGTTGCTATCCATATCCCTTGTGGGCAGCAGATCAAATATTGGTTCACTTTTTTTAGCTAGGCTCTTTGGAGTCTGCAGCATGTACATACATGGTTCAGGGTTCAGCCAGCGATTTCCATAGAATTTATATACAGAATGTAGGGCTCCCTCCCCCTTTGTGGCTCTTCCTTTTCTGGGATTTCCCACTTTACCATGTCTCTTGTTCCAAACTCTCACTGAGGACTCCCTTCAGGCTAGAAGATGTAAACAAAAATCAAAATCCCTTGGCTTCTTATGATTGTAGACTCCCCTTTTGTGTCTATTTTGGTTGTTCCCCAGTGCCTTCAGAAAGCTTTTGTTTTTTAAAAAATATTTTGTCCAGAGTTTATAGCTATTATTCAGTGGTTCGGCCTGACAGTGTCTGCTTAGCCATAATAGAAGTATGCCATCTTGTATGATGGCACTTTTCCTTCCAAATTTTAAGTTTTGTAGACTGTGTGCCATCTTGTATGGTGGCACTTTTCCTTCCAAATTTTTAAGTTCTGTAGAATGAAATGTTTTCCCCATTCCATTAGAGATTCTTAAATTTGATTTTGTAATGTCCCAGTGTATCTCCATTTTGGCTCAAAGGACTCTAAAAAAGTTAATGTAGGAAAAACACCCCAAAATGCTTAGTTTTTTATTCTTGCTGTAACAAATTTCCACAAACTTTCTGGCATAAAACATCACATTTTTCTAATCTTACAGTTCTGTAGGTTAAAAGTGACACAGGGCTCGGTGGGCTGAAATGAAAGTGTAGGCCCAGCTTCATTCCTTTTTGGAGGCTCTACAGGTGAATCTCTTTTCTTGGCCTTTCCAGCTCCTAGAGGCTGCTCTTGGCCCTTTCTTTCATCTCCAGAGCCAGCAAAGGCAGGTCTAGTTCTTACGTCACATCATTCTGACTCTATTTGTGGCATTCATCACATATCCTTTGACTCTCTTTCCTCTTCCACTTTGTAAGAGCCCTGTGATTGATGACATTGGGCTCACCTAGATAATCCAGGATAATCACTCTATTTTAAGGTTGGCTGATTAGCAGCCTTAATTCTCCCCTTGTTGTGTAAATTGATATTCACAGGTTTCCAGGATTGGGATGTGAGCGTGTTTGGGAGACCATTATTCTCCCTGCCACAGCCATAAATTAGCAGTCTAAAGAGAGAGAGAGAATGAGCAAACTTTATTCAATGAGGTTCAGTAGGCCACTGTTGCAAACTGCAGATTTGGATCTTTTTATTAGAGATGTGAGCTCAGTTTCTGTTTCAAAGTTATAAATAGTTGAATTTCCCTTCTCTTTGGGCACTGTGTAGTACCTTAGTGCTCAGTACATTGAGTAATAAATTATAGGTCCATTGACCGTGCTGCATAACCTATTCAATGAAAGTCATTCTGATTTTCCATTGGGAAACCTTGTCACTAGTTTTTGAATCAGTTCAGGAAGGATGTTATAAATCAGTTGTAGGAAATGTCTTGTATTTAACAAAACATTAAAGACAGTTTACATACATTTTGCTTAGGAGGAAGGTGGCTTTATGTGTGGGATATTTTACTAGGTGTTACCCCATATTATATGTGAGATATATGACGATTGTTGGACAAATAAATGCCCAAGATCAGACAGTCATAAGGGCTGGGTTTGTTTGCAAGTCCTGTTTTGTTCTGTTTTGTTAATCTATCTTTCTGAAGTTGCTCAAACAATCAAAGTTGCTAAGGGAAGTAACTATGTATGGTGAAGATTTAATAGGCACTGTAATAATAAAAGGTGTGCTGGCCGGGCACACTGGCACCATCTAGGCCAACAT